TCTAGGTTCCGGGAATATGAGACGGGGCCAGAGTGTCGACGCAGGTTGCGTCCCACACAAGTGCCCGTCCCAGCTTCCATTTCCATTTTCATTTTTATAAATGGCGCATAGGATATTTTCGGAAACCTATGATTATAGTCTATGAACTGAAAATGTTGATACCATTTTTTCTGAGAATAATTTTCCATTCAGCATTACTACACGTGTAGATAATATAAATTTTAAAATAAAGGAAAACATAACATCAAGGACATTTCGAATATATATTCTGTACCTTAAGTATATTCTGTTTGAAATTCTAAGAAATATTGTAATATTTTAGCAATACGCAAGTCCAATGTGGTTTAACTGTAATTAATATTAATGTAGTTTTCTTAAATTGAAAAAGTTTATTACTTATAATGAAAAACTAATTGAACGAACACGAGGTTGGAATAACCAATATTAATCTTTCGTTAAAGAAAACAACTAAATATAAATGCGTAACTTATTACAATTCCATTGGTCTCCACTAACAATTTCAACCAGAATTGTCCGTACACAGAAATTTATTTGCTTTCCTAGTGATTTATAGATTCAACAAACAGTCCGAGTAATCAATCATTGCTCATATAATATTTATAAAGACGTGACCTCAATAACGAAAGGTTTTACATACTTTAAATGTTACCTATCGATAATAATGGAAAAGTAGGTTTTGGTGGTGGGTACCTTCAAACAAAATATATACCTAACTAGCGGCCCGCCCTCGCTTCGCTTCAGTGTAGACTACAGTTTTTCTTCTCAGGCTTGTATTATACACAATGACATTCATCTATGATTCTTCTTATACCTGCATGCAAAGTCTAAGCCCGATCGGTTTAAAATTGACAAAGTTTCATACAAACTTTCATTCTCTATTTTATCTCCTTGGGGGTAGAATTGATCAAAATCCTTTTTTGCATGCCAAATTTCAGCTCGATCCGTCCAGTGGTTTGGGCTGTGCGTTGATATATCACTATGTCAGTCAGTCACCTTTGAGTTTTATATATATAGATATATCAAGCGGGGAATTTAGGGTAGATGTTTTCTAGAAAGCAAATAGCACAACAAGAATCTTCAAAATCAATTTTTACGTATTAAGAGTGGGTTTGCCGCTCGTGTTTTACTCAGTTGCTAACTAAATTAATTTTATCTACACCCATGCTTTAAAACCTCTACAAAAGATTCTGAAAAAGAATCTTCTACCACAGGTCGTTCTAATAGTAGTTTATAAATCTTTTAAAGAGGATTCTTAACATGGGTGTAGATAAAGTCTTGTATGTAACTCAACATAATTAGGTATTAACCTACATTTGTGGTATAATACACCTCATTATACAACAGTTACGTTACGTAGTTATACGAAGCTTAAATAATATATACATTATGATCAAACGTTGTAAAGGGTTTTTTTTATATATAGGTCCAACAGATGACTCCACCTCACCTGATGTTAAGTGACGGTAGAGTCCAGACGCGAAGATAACAGTTCTACCTGCCACACTTGCCGTCCTCACATTGTTCGCCTGCACATTGCTTCTTTCAAGACTTTTTTAAGGATTCCGGGTTATAGAATGTGTCAGATTATTATCATCATGCGAGTCTGTAAAATCTCTCTTTTCCATAGAAAAAGAAAATTATGTTTTATATTTTTGTCTATTAACTTTTTGTCTGTTAACTGCCATTAGGAGATCTCAGCGGTAGGTCATTCTTTAGTCACGAACTTTATGTGTTTATGTTTATGTTATGGGCGTGGTGGTGGTTACGTATTTTGGGTATTATCCAAACATTTCAGGATTAGAACTTCAAATTATTTAATTTGATACTTGAACATATAAGCCGTGCCACGGGTACATTGTTACCAAATTCTTCTTAATTACCGTTTTCAAAAGCCGACTTTTCAGCCATTCAGCAAAAATATTATTCGGCTCACCTCTACAAAATTCCTCTCCACTAATTCTCTAATACCATTATAGATCCAATTATCCCATCTTGATGAATTTCAATCTTAATTTTAATGGATTCCAAAGATGTAAAACCACCGGATTATGCCTTGCTTCAAATAGAGCTTTTGTTTGGGCTGAGCAATTTGCATTAGACGGTTTATGGTTTATTACCTTGACTTACATACAGAGGTTTGTGGGTTCATAGTTTAATTTCAGTGTTTGCTTTGGGAATATTTATGTAAATAACAACGCTTATAAAGCAGGACAATTATTTAAAGTTAAAATATCTAACCCTTGTCCAAGTTGGTGGCACAATACAACTCTTATTTCCTATAGAAATATGTTCAATGGAACTGTTATCGATAGCTCTAATTTTAACGGGAATCAAAGGGAAGAAAACGGGAGAGAAGGAAAACACGTCTTCATGACACCAAGAGCAAAAAAACAATATATTATCAAAAAATACATCAATGTCAAAAAACACGAATATTAAAAAAAATACATAAATATATCTAAAAAGGCTGATAGGTTGGTTCAGCAACAGGAACCTTGCGATAGCTCGGTGTTTTGGCCAAGTTCGACCGGTTTGAGGTGACTGAGCAGCTTTTGATTTATGTATCCTGTCTTTCACTTTTTTTTCAAGTACAGCATTAATGGTATCTGCATTTCGATATAAAGCTGTTTTCAGAATGGTCCATTTTAAATACAGAATAACATAACAGTTGCCCGTTATTAAGTCTAACCTAGTAGACATAACGGAATGAAATATAAAGTACTTGAAAACCCGTGTAATGTAAAAGGAATATTAAATGTGAACGGGTAATGTCAAAAGAGTAAACAAAAAAGTTCTCCTTAAAAGGTTTTCAGGCAATTATTTCTGCCGCTACGGAAATCAGGCACGTAAAATCGATAACGTCTTCTTAATTTTATTAAGAATACAATGTTATATGCTACTTCTTCATTCTGGTCGACTTAGTTATAAAACACAGTTTTCTTTCGGAAATCATTGAATAGCCACACCTCAACTATGCTACGGTAATCACCTTTATACTATATATAATTTTAAACATCTCCTTGATGGTGATGCCCCTCTGTTATATCAACCATGCGAAGAATATGGTATGAATCCTTCTAATTAAGAACAGTTATTATTCCTACCTGTATGTTTCTAAATATTCCTACCTTTCATCTGGTTAATGTAACCAGCCAAACCCGATTTCAGGACAAACTAATTTTGCCTAGGCTAAACTAGTTCTTCCTATACACGATAGGATTAACTATTTAGTATATTCTAGTCCAAACTAATTTGTCCTAAGCCCGATAGGATAAACCAGTTTAGCCTATGTCAAACTAGTTTATCCAAGAGTGTGCGTATTTATATCAGGATCAACTAGTTTGACCTAGGCTAAACTGGTTTACCCTGGGATAGTCAGCACTTCGAGTGCTGAACACCGTTCAACGGTCCTTTTCAGGACCAGGGTAGGAGCATCACCCCACAGTGAGTCTGATCATTGCGATTGGCGGTAGATGCTCAAAAGGCCTTTCTTAGGGCCAAGGGGGGCGGGAGAGGGACGGAGAGAACTACGCTCCACTCCTGTGAGAGCCGCGGGTCTGCCCTGGGGGGGACCGGCTCGCATTGCAGGAGCTCTCTTGATGCTGGTGCCCCTGATACTCCGGGGCACCTTCATCGGGGTGGGTCCGTTCGCGGACAATCACCTTGCGGATGCGCGGACAGTCAGCAACGGTTGCCGCGACCACACCCGCACTCCCGGCGTGCATTGGGGGGACTGCGGTCCTTAGAATGTACGCCGGGTGACCGGTGCAGGAGTATTGTCTGGTTTTTAGTGGCCCTGTTCAGGGCGTTAGGTAGGACCCTGCTCATTTCACCCGGCCTAAGGGCTGGCTGTCGCACATACCTTCTGCTCGCTCCCCCGGTGGTTGAAGGATGCGTAAAGCATTTCCCAGACAAAAAAAGGCTAAACTGGTTTATCCTATCGGGCTTAGGACAAATTAGTTTGGACTAGGCTATACTAGTTAATCCTATCGCGTATAGGAAGAACTAGTTTAGCCTAGGCAAAACTAGTTTGTCCTGAAATCGGGTTTGGCCGGTAACATATATATTTCCCAAAATAACTAATATAATAAAATAGTCGGGATTTAAACGACAAAGTAAATATCTGCATCGAATGATCAAATGAAATAAGCTTTTAAAAATAATAGTAAGCTGACTCGATCGGGTTCCATCAGTCGACAAAATCGGATCACCAAGGGCCGTTTGTAATGTCATAGAAGTCCCGGGGTTAACATTTAAGTAACCAATACAACTTCTTAGCGGCGTGTCTTTGAACTGTCTATACACATATATCAGGTGATTTATATTTCTCTTGTTTATAGTTAATTTGTGTGTTTTGAGGAAAAGAATATTGGGATGGTTTTGATTATAGTATAGTATAGTTATTTATTTTGTTACTAAATTTGTTTGAGTTATCTATAAGGTAATTTGACTACCTCCGTGGCTGAGTGGTTTGTACGCCGGGTTTCATGGTGTCGCCGACTTGAGAGGTCCCGGGTTTGAATCCCGGTGGGGGCAGATGTTTGTGGGATGTTTATGTGAATTGGTACTCCAGTCATGAAAGTTTAATATGTATTCCTATATAAATATAATATCCTATATAAATATGTACAGTATATGTATTCTTTCCGTTACCCTAGTATCCCATAACACAAGCCTTATAGTGCTTACTTTGGGACTTACTTCTGAGTCTTATGCTTCTCTATATATGCGACAGAATCACCATAGCAAAAACCACGAAGTGGCTTATTTTTTTAATCTATCGGTAAAAGTAAGAACTTCTATAAGTTATCTATTAAGCCTTCGAACGAGCATACATGTAATATACATTTAACGTAAAGTGCGTATACGCATCTAGTTGTAACATAAAATCTACTATGACTGCAACTGTTATCACTGAAGCAAACGTTCGGTTTGGTATTTTATAATCCATCCTTATCAAATTGTTAACAATTACTAACCTGAGCACGTTGTGATGCGCCAGCGCTTTCAGGGTGTGGTGTGGTGACGTCACGGGCAACGACGCAGCGATCGCCGGCCTCCCTGTGCCCTGCATCACGCGTATACCCATCCGGACGATGTTCCTTCGCGACACCTTCTCGTCTGCCCGGTCCGCTGGAAGCATACTGGAAGTTATTGTGGTTCCAATATCTTTTTAAGTAATACTATTATTTACAACATTATCATCAGTATAATATTAAAGGCCTCATTGTTGGAGTTCAGGCATAAAAGGATGGGTTAAGGAGTAAGGATCAATCCGCACTGGACCCGTATGCAATATTCATCACGTGGATCCAGGGCGGACTTATGGGTGTTTACGAATGCAGATTCAGTCGGGACCGACGACTCAACGTGCCTACCGAAAGACAGAGGTTCATCTGTCCCATAATAACCACTATAGTGTGCTGCTCCAGTCATCTTCAACTTGCTGGCCTGACTGAATCCAATGTAACCCTTTAGGTGCTTTTTTCACGGATCGGTGCGGTTTCGTTTTGTTTTCATTTGCATACCGAATCTGTACAAATTCTTTACCGAGTGCATATAATGAAATAAGAGCTTCCTTACTGAGTCGTTTCGGTATAGATTATTTACCGAACGCATACTCATCTCCCTGTACCGAATGCTATTAAACTACTAGACTAGCCCGCCTGATGTGACGGCACTATAAGAAATGACAAACACCATAGCATACAAAACGAAACGACACCGCACCAACCGAGCCAATGAAGAAGCACTTAGCGGTAAATAATCTGTACAGATACGGTACAGAGACGAAAGCGAAACGCACCGGTGTTGAAAGCGACTCACACAACACTACCCAAAGGCCGCTGTTTTTGCTTTTGCAAGGTGAAGGTTAGTTGTTCTGAAGGGCGCTCTATTCCGATCAGAAAATCCGCAATGCTATCTTTGTAAAATTTTATCACGAGTAACTAAAATGGAAAAAATCTATATTTCCTAAACTGTGGGTTTAGCAAGGGCTCAACATATCAAAGTGAACATTTGCAAACAAATTGTGTGTATCTTCGACTATCACAATAAGTTTCAAAAAGATCAGGGGCTAATAACCAATGTAAACCTTTTCCCTTTCTCTTTCAAATATAAAGGAAAGTATATATATATATATATATATATATATATGTTATGGGCTAAGTGATTAATCGGGCAGTATGAATAATGCCCAATAAGAGCGGGCAATGTGATTATAACCTATCAATTTATCACATTGCCCAGCCCTTATGAATAATGCCCAGTGCCTATTGGGCAGAGCGATGTAAAGCATATTTAATACTTTCAAATGAATACTTAGTTAGATAGACCGAACATTACAAGTAATGAAATCAATTATCGGGTAGAGTAATAATAAAAACATGTTTTATAATTTAGTATGTATTTTTAAAATTTAAATAATCAGACTTCGGTTTTACTTCGATCAATTTACGAAGGGCTACATTTAGAAACTATAGTCAAAAGTAGTTTCAATGCAGTTTGTTTGAAAAAATCATTAAATCTGTTAAATGTTCAGAATTTATGGTTCCCCATTTTTTAGGATGCAAAGACTAGGGAAGTAAGAACCAGTTCTTCTGCCTTATCTCCGACGCTGCGGGAATAGCAGCCCCTCCGCCTTTAAGTGACAAAGTCACAAGCATCACTTCCTTCACTCTCCGTCCGCGCCTCTGGGCTCTAAAAAACAAAAACACTCTAAGGGTAGAGCAGACCAAGACCACGGCGTATCGGGGTTGACCAAGTCGGTTCTAAATTAAAGACTGTTTTAAAGCCACATTTACCTTTTTTTCTAAGCATTGAGCCTGTACTATTTTTTATTTACCAAGATCTCAAAACAAACACAAAATGGCGAGACATCTGTCATTTTGACAATAGTACCAACGTTTTGAATTTATTCATACTGCCCGGTCCAAGCGACAAATTCAAGCTATCTCAAACACTGACTTATTACATGGACCACGAGTCGTCCGGCATTATTAATAATGGCCGGGCAATGTGATAAATAGGTGAGTTTAGATTGTAATTAATCACTTGGCCCGATATGGCTGGGCATTATTCATACTGCCCTGGCATTATGAATACTGCCCGCATTAATCACTTGGCCCATAACATATAAGTCGCGGCACAAAATTGCGCCGAAGTAATCCCCCCAAGACATCTTAAAAAATTTAGATGTCTTGGGGGGAGACGAGGTGCGCGGGTGGGAGTGCGTTACGTTACCCATGCGCAGCTATCCCCTCCGCGTTTTGTTCAGCGCTAGAGTTACGTGCCGCGACCTGTACCCATAACATAACAATATTTTGCCAACTTTATTATTATGAAAGAAATGAAGGTAAAGGAAAATATTCAGATAATGATTATTGTTGTGGAAACCTCGGTGTGTGAATTAATAATGCTATGTCGCTCTAATCTCGTCGCTTCCTCTGAAACAATTAATCATTTGCACCTGACAGCTGCGGCTCCTTGTCCTTTTCAAATTTCGTAACAACAGACGTTGACGTCACGTAAACTTCACTTGCCACCCGAGTTTGTGTAGAAAATATAACCTAATAACTTTTGGCACTTTTTGTCTCATTATTACCAGTCACTCACTATTATTATCCAAATATTTTCATTGCTTAAAAAGAATAATTCCAAGTTGTAAGTTCGTTTGATACTTTTCAAAACCCTACACTCAAAAGCAATGATTTTTTATAACGAGGCGGTCATACGAGGCGGCGCACCATACTGTGTCTTCGTAATTATTTACTTATTTACTGTTATGTTCTGAGATTTAAAATTATAATATTTTCCATAGTGTCGTATTCTAAATTAAATTTGTCAGCTATCAATTGAGGTAAAAGAAATTATTTAGTAAATGCTAATACATTTTCCAATAAATAAGAACCTGGTTTCTGAAGCTGATGTAACCTGGATATGATCGCGAGTGTATACTTATATAAATATTTTTACACTTAATTACCAAACATACACTCGAATCACTTATAAATTATTCTACGTTATTTAGCTTTTATAGTCGTCCATGGTTCTCTTGATCCATCGAGGAAATCATATATCTAGCTTCCAGTATCTTTTTTAATATATTCACTGTTTGCAGTTCTTTCAGGACTTTCATTGATCATGGCATATTTGAAAATTTTTGGTATGTATTTTACGAACACATTATCACGTCAATAATATATTTTTCCAACAAATCACAATAATACACAAATAATGTAAAAACAAACTAGGAATAAAATAAATTGATATAATAAGAATTCTCCTTTTTCAGAAACAAACGAAATACTGGAGGTATTCTCTATTTCAACGAAAAACGAAATTTCGATCGAAATTTCGCACGCTCCTTACTCTGTTTCCTTTTTATTATTTCGAAAATTCGTACGTCCAATTATAGTTTGACAATTAAATTCTCCAAGCCTACTCTAATTCACAAAACTTTCGAAGGAAAAGACAGATTGAATTGAATTTGACAGATAATTGTTCGAAATTTTAACCTCAAATTAACGAAATGAAAAGTGTTACCTTTTCATTTTCGTTTTGAGATTTTTGTTTTAATTAAGCCTCAAATGCTTGTAAGAGTATTTTTAATCAAGGCTGCTTAGCTCGAGAAACAGTTTTAGCATGTAAAATTAACAAATAAACCATTTTTTTATTATTTATTTTAATTCCAATACTTCAAAGTATTAAACGACAAATTTAAGTTGACATACAATAGATTGTATCAACTCCACAAATTAGTCGGCTAACACTGTCAAAGAAGGTTCTTTCAATGTCATCAAAAATTTGCAGTAAACTACCTATATTGTTTCCAAGTAAAAAAATGTAATCTTAAAAGTAGAGATAAAAAGAACTCACAAACATGACTCATTCCATTCGTTCACGAAAACTGTTTGTGGTTCCGAAGTTTATGTGCCTGTTCGAAAATGAAATAGAGTAGAGTCAACCGCGAAATTTCGTTTAAAATTCGTTCGTTACCGAAAATTCGTTCATTACCGAAATTTCGTTTCGGAGAAAGAGAGTAAAGCTCCTGGTTTCTCTGTACCGCAAGGAGACCAATCATTTATTAACTAACCCTTTTGTACACTTCGCGATCAGCGGTTATATCAAAATTAATTCGTGTATCGGGACTCGAAGGTTTGTTTATTCTTTTTGTGTCGTTTTATTGGACTGTTCCATCAATAGTTCTTAGCTATGCTGATCTGTTTAATGTATTTGTACCTTTGGAGACCCGTACAATCCAGTCGGCTTATACCGCACAACCAGTCTGCTACCGTAATACAGTTATTTACATTTCTAGGTAATTGGTATTCCTTTGTATCCGTATTCTATCTCAGTCTTATTATAAAAAAAAACTTTGATATAGATTATAATTAATCTTCGAAAGAAGATTTGTGAGAGAACTAGTTTACTAAAGCTATATTGGTATACATATGTACGTTAAAGTAACTACTTCAGGAACGTTCTAATTCTCTATCATATAACGGAAATACTAAAACTCAAATTAGCGCAGCGAACGAATGAATTTGAATAACTTTACATTCGCTTAAAGGGCATACCGCTGCGAATTAATATTCTAATTACGAATTTTACAGTTCAAATTTGCATACTTTTAGTGAGGAAAGATAAATCCTTGCATGCGATGCAAGAGCAGCGGAGCATAATATTAAAATAACTGTTGGAGATTTTAACCACCTTAATGAAATGAAAGCAGCTCAAATATATTGCGGGGTGTATTTTCTTGTTGCTTTCTTAGATAATTATCTATATATATAAAACTCAAAGGTGGCTGACTGACATAGTGATCTATCTACGCACAGCCCAAACCACTGGACGGATCGGGCTGAAATTTGGCATGCAGGTAGATGTTATGACGTAGGCATCCGCTAAGAAAGGATTTTGATCAATTCTACCCCCAAGTGGATAAAATACCGAAGCGAAACGAGGGTGGGTCACTAGTTAATTAATAAAATAGCTTTTTAATTTAGTCAGCTAACTTGAACTGTGCTCACTTATAATTTCCCCGGGCGATTTCAGGAAAGCTAGATATTACCAGAACATTAAGGGCGAAAAGTTCCAAAAAATTTCAGATTCATTTTAATATTGGAAAAGAGGTACGAGTGAGAAATATCTTTGGTCACCTCCCAAAAAATGACTTTTATGAACGTTGCTTAACTTTTATTACCTTTTGCCTACTTAAGAATATCTATTAAACCACCTTTCTTAAGTGACTTTTGAAGCTATGGGTACACTTACCAATGTAGGCTCGTACATCATACGATGTTCCTATTGGGGCTCCATGATACTGCTTGGCTGGTACCAGCTGCACGCTAGGTGGCGCTAGAGGTGTCAGCTCCAGATGGAAAGGGAATGCGTAGGCTCCTAACCGCTTTACTAGTGCATCCTGAGATAGAATAGTTTGAAATAAGCTTAATCATCAGTCTATTAATGTCCCAACTGCTCAGGCTCAGGTCTTTCCTATGTATGGAATAGAGAGACTGGGCCGTGACCCACGACGCGGGCCTAGAGAGGATTGGTGGGTGCTAAGGATTGCAGATGCAGCCGGGACCAACGGTTCAACGTGCTTTCCGAACCACGGAGGAGCTCGAAATAGTAAGTTTTTGGTCACCCATCCAATGCGAAAGTTGCTTAACTTTGCGCATACGCTAGCGACCTGCACACCTGCAGCTTCTCTAAAAACCTAAGTGTAATAAAATATGTTTTGATAAAGTTCTAAGTTTATATGCTAAATCAATTGCTTAAAGGAAATAGCATCAAATCTTAATAACCAATGCTTCTGGATATGGACAAAACACAAAATTATAGTCCAGTATCGCATCAATAGGCTGTAGTGGCCGCTTATCATCAGGCAGGTAAGAAGTTTGATTGCCACAGTTTTTAAATAAAAAGAACAGCTTATACCTACGGACTGAATAGGGAGAAAGATTTGTGACAAACCACGTGGCCCTATTGGATTGTTGTTGCAAACCACTGCAAATGACAGTCAGAACAACTGAGGAACTCAAGATATTATTATTTTTTGGCCGCTGTGAAAGTTTCATATCTTAATTGAATTCGCGTTATCATTTGGATGTCCCACTTCTGGAGCACAGGCGTTCTCTATGAATGGGATAGCGGGGTTTGGCCATGACCCACCACATAGGCCCAGTGCGGATTGGTGGGTGCTAACGTCTTTAGATGCAGCTAGGACCAACGGTTTAACGTACCTGCCGAACCACAGAGGTGTTCGAGATTGGATGGACCATTGCGAAAGTTGCATAACTTCCACTATCGCAGACCAAACGCGCTATCCAGTTGCGCCATCGAGCTCCTCAGAAAATACAATATAAAGCATAAATTAAAATCGTTGAGCCCTTAGTACAAACTTATACCTATAGCCCCCTTATTAATAAATGAAGAATAAGCTTGGATTAGATACTCCATGTTTGGTCTCTATTCATAGAATTACAAATGGCATTTGAGTAATATGAACAAAAAACGACGCAAGTAGTCTAAGAGAGGGTAACGGTTATACGTGGGTTTTACCTGTAAAGGAGTATTTGGTTCTCGGTCGTGTGTACAGTGCAGCGGGTATACTTGTGCAAGACTCATTATTGCTTCGTTGCAGAACTTCAACCCCATCACCTCCTCATCTTCTCTGCCGTATCTGTAATTAAATACTCGTATCAGACACACATGAAAGGACTAGCATCACGTATAATGTTCTGGTTTCAAAGAATAGCCACCCAAACAGCACCGCTTCGAACTTCAGCGCCCACTAGCTGTCGACAAGTGGTTCAAATTCCGACGTCGAATGGTTAACGCCTAGTCCACTCAGAAGCATGGTCAACGCTGGATATGCTATTAATTATTTATTACGCTGAAATCGCGAAAAAAAATCTGCTGTTTCATACAAAAGTGCATCAGCTAATCGACCATAATGTATGAAACAGCTGTTATTTTTCTCGCGATTTCAGAGTTGGTCCCATAATAAAAAGTTGTTCCTGTTGATGGGTATAATCACCCCCTAAGAAGTTGTTGGTGTTTTAAAATTAACCCTGTATAGGTATTACTTCTATTCATGTCTATAAATAATAATAAATCGCCAATATGTAGGTATAAACGCGCAGTATCTTCGGAAAGAATGCACCATATTGGATAATTATTTTTGTTGTATTCGTTATTGTCAGGACAAGGTTTATATTAAACAAAAAAAAACGGCAAAGTTCGCAGTAAAATTACATTCACGCAATTCGAAACTGTACTAAATGCCTCAGATACATCCTCTGGGCGTCCCATTTTAACTCAATAATTCAGTTCGTTGCAGCGGAACAGTTAAGCAACGTTGTTAAAGTCAGATAATGACTTTTGCTAATTAAAATTTTCGCCTTTGGAGATTTTATTTGTGCAGTCTTTGTGAACATAAACTGGGAAGTCTAAAATTGAATATAGCTATTTTCGCTGAAATTGGTAGTACCTCAACACAATCTGAGCTAGGCATCTGTGCTAAGCTCGCGAGAGAGCTACTATTGCTTTGTTAGCGTTTTTTTGGAGCGAAGTTCCTCTTTGGCGGTATGGCGGCTGGGCCAAGGTGAAAATTTTGTAAGATTTTTGCGTGACAACTTAGCGAGGCAATTAGATAGGGTGGGTAGCTAGATGGACAGCTTTGGTGGGCCACCACTGATGGCGTGGTCGTTGGCTGTGGACTTGGTTTGAAGTTTTGTTCAATAGTTTGACGGAAATGGGGGATAGGGCCATGACTCACCAGGCGGACCCAGTGCGGGTTGGTTGGTGGTATATCATAAATATTTTTGAGTTCGTTCCAACCTAGTTTTCCACAACACACGCGCAATGTTTTTATATGTTTCATTTCTGTGCTATTCAAGCCCTGAAAGCGATATAGAAAACAAACTGTTTCTGTGTGTTTTCTAATGTTTAATGATAGACAGGGTTTGTCGCCTCCGAACAAAACTAGTAATACTCAAGCATACTGCGTACTATATTAATATAAAATATAAGTATCTCCATGTGATTCTATTTAATATTCCAAGCAATACGAATAAAAAAGTCTATATTCTGTTTGCCCTCTTAAATTTTATATGACATTTTCCATGTTTGGAATGGAGGTTAATTTTACAAATGTAACGTCAAGATTCCTCGCAATATCAGTTTATTGAACCGAATGCTCTCTGATTTTATATTCGGATTTCAGCTAATGTAATTTTCTCGAAGTATTTAATGTGATAATATTTTCTACCGATGAAAAAAACGGAGGTTATTTTCAATTCGACGCGTATATTTTTTATGTATGATCACGCAAACATTTTTACAGAGAAGTCCGGTTTTGATATTTCTTTTTATTGGGAAGGGGCTCTGAAGTTAGGCCCATTTCTATTTGGAAAAAAATCCTTAGGGTATTTTTTTTATGGATTTATATGGGAATGGGTGGGGAAATAGGGGTGATTGTTCACTCACAGATTTTGATATCGAGTTGTATATTGCAAAAATTAAAGCCAAAAAAATAATACATATTGTCTGTGGCACCGACTCCAAATATTAATTTGACTAAAGATAAAAAGGGTTTATTATTTTCTGTTTCAGTTTTTTCGGGGGCTTATTTTTTTGCTAAAATATTTTTATTTAATATATAATTCCATCAGGAGTTCTTTGCCATCATTAAACCACACCATTAAAAATACTTTGAATTAACTTTGGAACAGTTTGGAGTGTTTATCAGATTAGCAAGTTTTAAGCCATAGTATTGCAATTTTAATGAACTATAGTCTAATTTTTTTTATTATTTTCCAGCATAACATAAGGCAGAACATCAACTTGCAGGGTATTATTAAAATATAAAGTTTTTGTTTCAAAGTATTCAAAAAGTTCTACCTATTACTTTTACATCAAATATATCTTGTTTGTTATTCTTAAAACAGTTTAAAGCTTTGTGTAACCACTTTTCTTTAGTACCCTTAAGATTACTTTGGTAAATGTAATTTTAAATTGTTCAATAATAGGAGTTCTATTTTCTCGCATAAGGGCGAATCTTGAGATTCGGATTATTCAGTTGATTCCCTTGGCGCAATTTATTTCTTTTCCTTCTTTTACAAATATTAGGGAAACATAAAATTTTACTTTATTATTAGCATATTTATCGAATAGGCATGACTTTTGGCCAGCTGGGTCTGAAGATAAATCAGGTTACATTTTGTGCGACAAGGGAATCAAGAAAAGACAGCAAGAAGCACAGCATACCTCAGTAGTAGCATATAGAGCCACAACACCCGTTGGGTCAGTGCCGAGGGCTGCAGGTAATCTAAGGACATATTTCCCTAGCCTCAACTATTAAATCTTAACCGAAGTGCTCTCGAGGCGAGTAATGCTGGGCACCATAACAGGGCACTGCCTACTTAACAAGCATTTACTAACCATAAGTGCTAAGGATAGTTCTCTGAGATGTCTGGAAGCAGACGAAACGACCGCTCATGTCATCCTGGAATGCACGAGCGTGGCAGAACACCGGGCATCAATCCTCAGGAAGCCAAGAGCCTGGAAGGAGCTGGGCTGGCTATGATACATAGCCCAACATACTCTGCACGCACAATGGACCAAGTACGGAGTCTACGTGCGGAAACGGGGGTATGTGAAGCTCTACTAGAGCTACATGCAACAAAGTGGAAGCGAGTGCTTCCTAGAAGAGTTTCTAGAATATTTCACAAGGGGTGTACGCATTGTGACGCGCCAGAGGGATCATCGTTTTGGTCCAGACAAACTTTATATTCTAATCCCAAATAAAACTATGAGAAATACATACAATATATCATTTTTTTAATAAATTTTTTTTCATTTATGGTATAGCTTAAACCGTATTAAGTATTTAATTTCATATATTTGTTAATAAGTTGGTGTTTCGCTGGTAGATCTTCACATAATGTGAAGCTGACTCATCAGGGGATGCCAAATATTAGTGCTTTAGGACATATTTTTACTATTTATATCTAAATGAGAAACAATAATTTTATCGTGCCATACATTACAGTAGCATGAAAAAATATTTTGCGCCCTTGCTTTAATATTACGAGTACTCTTTTCCTCCGGACAGCGAAAATTGAGCCTCTCAAGATTCACCCATAAACATTTTCAAAGTCATCTGTATTTGAAACAAATCACATTAAAAGTTAAAGCACTTTGCATTTAAGATAATGGAATCTAACAAAGCAGTTTCTCAATTCTGGGTATTTGCGTTTAAGGTGAAGTGTAGGTAGAAGCTTGAAAAACTTATGCAAATCCTTTAGTAAGATTTGAATGTTTTGGCTAAACCTTTGCCACGAATAAAATATTAAGTACTCAAATAAATAAAATCCACCAGCAGTGCCTAAAAACTACCTGTATAAAATTCCTTTTAATGTTACGGAATGGAATACCTAAGTTTTAATTTAGGGATTGAAATATAAAATAAAAAAACATAAAATGAAATATAAATTGAAACCTAAAACAATCAAAGTATAAACAAGTTAATCTTCTATACCTTTTCTAAGAAATCAGGATTTGGTATTTACAGATATTTACAGGTAAGAAGATTAAGGAGCTCCATGGTGCAGTAGTTAGCACGTTCGCTTTTCTAACGAGGAAGTTAAGTAACTTTCGCAACTGCCGGTTATTGGATGGGTGATCAAAAATCCCACTAATATTATAAATGTGAAAGTTTCTATGTTTTTTACTTAATCACGCAAAAATTACTGAACGCATTTAGATGACATTTCGTACACTTATATGTAGTTTATGACCTAGATTCAGATTATTCCACTGTTATCTTTGTTCAAATCCCTCATTCCGGAAGTCGTAGTGCTTGCGAACACCAACACGTATTGTAATTGCAAACGGTTTTTAAACTGAGTATTAACACTAGCGTGGTTCCACTAAAATAATGTCATGCTTCCGAGTTTCACAATCCCAAATAATAATACTTCACGAGAATATTGCTCTTAGGGAAATCAATCCTGTTTTTTTCCTGCCAAGCTTGAGTTTAATAATTCGTGTACCCAATTAGAGTGTAAAGTATGTATGTACTAAAAAAGTAAGGTTGTCGCTTTGGAATTGCTGGCGTGTTATTTTGTTACGTAACAAAAAGGTCCGTAGGCCTTTTATCTAAATTGCAACAGATTTGCAAACATTATGCAAAAGAACTGTATAACGAGAATAGATACATAAAATAAAGAATATTTATAAAGCAAACAACACCGATCACATATTATCTCCGTTACTATTCTGGAATACGATAAAATAACTATTATAATGATTTGACTCCGATTTCATACAAAGCTTCGAATCAGATAATCGCTCCCATTGTGTTTGTAAGTTTTTGTTGCTCACGTAAAAGCCCTGCCTAAGTTCCTTTTATTATTTTTAATAATGAACCAATATCGGTGCAAGTAAGTAAAAAAATGACATTATATAATTATTTATTGTTATTTTAATGGAAAGTAGACAAGACATTACATAAGAAGGCATTAAGGGAGGCGATGGTGGAGGGTGTGAATGCAATCCTGGCAGCGGTTTCTCTCTAGGGTGAAGCCAACTTGGTTGGATTCAATCCCTCTAAAACACAGGCCTGTCTCTTCTCGACGAAACGGAGTTCATTCCATCTGACTCCGACTTTCCGAAATG